TTGGTCTTATCGTAAAGCTTTGAACAAGATCGAGAACAGGAAGAAGGAAAAAAAGCGGAAGGAAAATGAAATAAGAAAGATTGATGCATCCACTAACAGCTTTTATGAGCTTGACATATAGTTTCCATTTTTTCAGTTTTGACCTCAGTTGTTCAAAAGCTGGATAACGCTATACACCAGATAAATCTCTATACAGAGGATAAGTATTAGGGAAACCAATAGACCTACCTATTCGGCTAACTCAATGTTGTACCCAATTCCAATCTTCCGGGGTTAAGATTGTTTGTGTATTGTATTTGCATTATAACGTGGCATTCACATTTAAATGACACGAAAGTTCCCAGGTCTGAATGACCCGACTCCCCTTTATCTCAAGGTCTTGATCCGGCACTGTGTCCATCTATGCCCTCCTTTGGCATTTATTTGCCGCGTTATTCACTACCTTCTTTTTACTGATTTGAGCAGTTATTTTTTGATCCACTCAGTTTGGTTGCAGTTTCTCCTGACTGTATTTTGATAAATTTCGTGACACAGCTCCTTTAGTGGCAGGTACAAAACGCACGTCACAGGTCACAAGTCATGCAGGTGAGAGTACAGGTTACCGTGCTACAGTAAACGATAAACGTCACCCAAAGAGTTTCTCCTAGTCCTAATCACAATTCGAAATAGAGTTTCAGCTTAAGGGTAAGTAGACTACAAGCCGGTAATCTCTTTTTTTTTCTTGGTCCGTCGAGCAAAACGCCCGAGACACGCAAATGACCACGCGAGTGACTGAAGGCGCGAGACGGTAGAGGCACGACTCTCTTTCTTCTTCTCGGGCTGCCGCACTCGTTTCTCGCGTAAATCTGAAGAAAAAGAGAGACTGCTCGCAGTCTAAAGGGTAAACAGCTTGTCTCAGTTAGTTATCAATACAGCGGTAACCTGCACTTCTGCCGACTTGTGAGCTGCATGTGACGTGTGTTTTGTACCTGTTACTCCTTAAGTGAATCATGGACGATCGTCCGAGTGCATGAGTGTAGTCCCGAATATCGCTATTGTTGACAGTGACCCCGGGGGGGGGGGGCCCTTGGGAATTTCTGGGTGGGGCTGTGCCGCTGGGTCCCTGGAACCCTTAACCTATACCAGAGCTAGTGCAACTGAATTTTGCAACCCAATGCTAGAGTAAACTCCCCAAATCCCCCCTATCCTAGAGTGGCTGTTTCCCTAGTCTAGATGAAATCTTCAACCAACTGATTAGTTTCCTGAAAAATAATACCCTATCCTAGACCCACACGCTCTGATTTATATACCCTATCCTGGAGTAAACTACTTGAAAACCATACCCTACACAGCGGCACATACCTATATAGACCATATATGGCAGTGCCCCCCCCCCCTCCGGGACAGTAACTTTGCGGTAATCGTCATAAGAATCAAGGTTTGTATTGTTAGATGATTCTATTAAACTCTGGTAATTGACTTGATTGGACAATAAAGCAGCGTCGCGTAATGTTATTGCGGACATACTGTAATGTTGGTTACAGTCTGTAGAAAAACGTAATGCTTTCAGCCAAGTCTATCCAGTTGATGAGTCGTTGTGGAGTGGAGCCTTTATTTAAAGAGGGTAACGCTAAACTGATCAATTTGTGGCCCTTGATGAGATGTAAACTACAAGAAACAAGAACGCGCTTACAGTGGTAGTCCATCTCGCCTGCTTGGAGATTAGATCGAGAAATCAGGAGGCGATTAATTCTACAAGAAACATGATTTACTCGCTAAAGGTTTTTTACTTCCTACTTTATCGACGTCCATACTTTTTATTTGTGTCTGAATTGATTTAGTACGTGTGTTAGCGACGACCAGAAATACCTTTCCGCGGTAGCAGGCTATACGCTTGTATAAATACACCAAAACTCAAGGGCCTCGATTCCAGAGAAATTACATCATTGCCAGTTATCAAAAAAGTTATTTACATGGCACGTCATTTCAATCATCGTCGAAAATAAACCGCATGCTCATCACAAGACTATTTGCATACAGTGAAAGTTTACAACACCCGACCATCGCAATTTTGCTAATTAAGATTCTTATTTTTTTTTCGACCACTCTGTAGTTCACTTGTTCCAAAGTAATCAACGCTTTCAAGCGTTAGAATTCGTGGACCGACACGTTTCGGAAAAGCTCTAAATTTAATCTTTCCTAAGCTTTCTTCGCAAAACATGGGTGGCTTCGATCACGCAACGATTCTTAGTCCAAGTTTCCACGGTCTCCGCAAGGAACGCCTGACACAATGACCTCCCTTTTGTATCCTAAATACGAACAAAAATTCCGGGGGGGGGGTACTTTCAGAAAAATTGGGTGAGGGTGTGCGGCACGCTTCCTGTAACCCTTACCCTATTTCAGACCAAAATCTGCATGCGATTTTCCCTACACTATTTCAGACCTGATCAAAAATTTGATACTCTGTTTCAGACCTGAAGCCCTATAACCCGGCGCATGACCGGAGCGCATGACAAGCTGTTACGGCGCGTACACGGTAGTTGGCGTAAACATTAAAAGGGAAATGGTCTTTTTATAATCGCCAAATGATGAATAAGTAGCTAATTCTTCAATAAAACATACAGTATGTTGCCCAGTATCCGGACGGTACCAGTATCCGGACAATTAAAACAAAAACTCAATTTTTGAGGCGCCCTTTTCAGTTCTCGGTAAACGAAGTATTTCGAATGAAAGCTGAACATTTCAGCTCTAAGATGAAAGTTTTGGTGAGTTTAAAGCTTGCGAAACAGTCGTAGAAGACGCCGCTCCGTTCAGGTTAGTAAACTTTTTCATGGCTAGCGTATTTACGCTGTTTACATAAAATTAGTGCTGCTTAGAAAAGGGTAGGTAAT